TTTTTTAATGTAAAATATGATTTTTCGTTAAAGTAAACAATACCAAAAATTTTTTTGTTGAAGTTGCCAAAGTTACAGCTCACTGAAGGGCTTTTCTAAGAGAGTAACGGAAGTGGCGGCTCTCCTAATGGGGAATTTACCGACCACATACGGTCATACCAAAAGACATCGGTATATTGTCATCCGACACAGAATATTACACGTTTCCACCACCATTAGATAATATATGATATAATTAAAATATAGTATCAAAAAAAAAAAGGCCAAATCAAATAAATGGTCCCCGTGATCATAAGGTATTCGGAAGATAGCATCTGTGGTTTAAAAATTCGAATTTAAACCCTTATGGTGAAGCCTGTTAGGATTTATGCCCACATTGAAACTTCTGTTTGTTACTCCGATAGTAGCAAGCGCCACCCTTTCTTCCTCTCTCTTCCCTCTTCATCTTCCCTTCTTTCTTCTGTCTCTGCAACATGCTGAACCAAAAACAGAACCAACGCGACAGTTTAGCAGTTCATAACTAAAACCCCATTCCCAATTTCTGAAGCAATGAAATCACAAATAGAATTCTTTGAGTGAAATCAGAAAGGTTTAGTTCACGTTTGAATAGCCACATTATGGCTTAGAGGAGCGAATGGAGACATTGCACCAAAATAATCAGGTATTGCTGCAATCTTGATAACCCACAATACCCAGAAGGGAAAAAAAAAAGACCCAAATTTCAAAAACCCAAATGGAGATAGAAGAATGTATGATGAGGCTGAAATTCTGAAGATTAATTTTAAGATTGTGGAGGACAGTTTTCATCGAAGACGAGCAGTAAACTCAAGAATGGTGCGTTGGTTGAGAGCTATTTAGAAGGTTCGGAGATGAGAATTCAAATCAGAGAAGTGCTGCCAAAAGTGGAGGATCTTTGTGAACAACATGTTCTTGGGCTGGAATGGTGGTTCAAAAACCTCAATTGGTGAAAGGAGATGGCTACGGGTTTGGGCACAGAGAGTGGAAGAATGAGTAGCTTTCATAGCTTCTATTTAAGATGGGGGAATCAAATCGACCGATCAGGAAGATGAAATTGTCGCATTGGTTTTGTTTTTGGTTCGGCAGGTTGCAGAGATAGAAGAAAGAAAGGAAGACGAAGAGGGAAGAGAGAGAAAGAAAGGGTGGCGCTTGCTACTAACGGAGTAACAAACAGAAGTTTTAATGTGAGTATAAATCCTAACAGGCTTGACCACAAGGGTTTAACCATAAGGGTTTAAATTCGAATTTTTAAACCACATGGGCTATCTTCCAAATACCTTATGATCACAAGGATCATTTATCCAATTTGGCCAAAAAAAAAATTATAGATATTAAAGTATTTTTCACTTTACTTTTTTCTTCTTCCTCACCAAATCATGTCTCTAACTTAGAAAAATAAAAATAACCCATATTTTCTGTCTCTCATTTTTCTCCAATTATACATATATATAATTTTGAGTTATTCTCACTTTACTTACCTCAAGTTTTATCAAAATCACACTCTACTAGTTTTACTTTTTTCATCTCACTTTCATGCCTAAAGTGTGATTTTTTTGCCACTTTAAAACTTTCGTTAGCCTAGCTGTTAACTAATAACTTGGCAGAGTCTTGACCAACTAATTCTCACTTTACTACTCTAAAGCATCATAAAATTCGCACTTTTCTACCACACCTAAAGTCACGTTTTGCTCCCAAATTCATACTTTAGTTAGCTTGAGCATCAGGAGCTCCATTAAAGCATGACTCAGCACCTAACTGAACGATAATTGTGCAGAAACGCGACAATCTGGACCCACGTGACATGAAAACAATTAAAAAAAATTAAAATGTTTCTTTGGCAAGAAAATAAAATAAAAGAGTAAATTTTTTTGCCATAATTGGGCTTCTGTCCACGTGTCAGCATATGTTGCTCTTTATGTTTTTGAAAAATTTTGACTTGGCATAAACTAATTTCAAAATTTTCGCTTGAACCATCTTGTACACCTTGCGACAACTACAGTATTAAGCTTTTGCAAAGATCATCCATTCAAAGCATGATGTGGCGCTTGACTCATAGTGCCACACGTCTGCACAGTTAAGCGTCACATCACGCTTTAGCGGAGCCCATGTTGCCCAGACTAACGTAAGTATGAATCTGGTGTTGGTAGCGTCCTTCTGCCATCCTCTTGGAACTTAAACGGTAAATTCATTCTCACTATTTCTTTATTAGTTTTGCTTTTTAGAAGAAATGAAAGGAAAGACAAAGAACCTGTTGGAAGAAGGGAACGTCAGAGGCAAAACCGTATGCTTTGATTTTGGGTTTTTATTTTTTGAATAGGTGTAAAGATAAATTTACATATTAAATTGAGATTCTAAGCGGTGTTGAGCTTATAGAGATATTAATAACTTAATTCAAAAGATAGGGATTTAAAGAGTAAGTTGTGTAGAGTGAGGTTAGATGAGCTTAAATAAAAATTTCTCTTATCCTTACTACTTTGCAGCTGTTGCTGTCAATTGCTTTGTGTTTTATCTTTATTTCACAAACAGAAGACACCAAAAGAAAAGTATACTTACTCCTATATTACACAAAATATTTTAATTGAATTACAATGAAAGAGAGGGGAAAAGGTGGAGGTACAATTACAAGGAGGGGGACTCTGGAGGCTAGAAAGGTGATGGCAGCATGAAATGTGGTGGAATGTGGTGGTGATTTGGGGAAGAAGATTTTATTTGTTTTTGTAAAGAGTTTGTATCCAGATAGAAGGACAAAAAAAAGTATTTCAAAATCCATACAAATCTTTAAAGAGAAATTCTCATAAATCATCTAAAATTTACAAGAGTTTAAGAAAATCTATTAAAATTCAGTAAAATTTGGACTTATAAAAAGTCTTTTGATCCTTCAAAATTCTAATTGACTACACCCTCTAAGTTTTAGAGTCACTCTCACTAGTAATTCTATATATTGAAGAAAGTTGAGATTTCATTATTAAATCAATTGGCAATATGGAGATTAGCCCATAACTTATAACCACCGATGCAATGTATCTTCTTTTCCAGATGTAGGTTGTCAAGCCTCAACACATACCCATTTTATCTATTATAAGTTTGTTCTTTCCGTCACATGGTTTTTATGTGTGATGAGACGATAGACACATAGTTATAGTGCACATGCATATTGTAAGTTTGATATGCATTGGCAGTCTATTATAATACAAAGTTTAAACTTTTGAAGTTGGTGGCTGTCTATAAAGAAAGTTGGGGTTCCAACATGAAATTAATTAGCCATATGAAAAGTAGTCAAACTTGTTTATAAACCCATGCAAGGTTCCTCATCACATGAATGTGAATTCATTCTCAACACCCCCTCACATGTGGAGAATTTTCAAGCCTAACACATGCACAACACAAATGGGATGACGTGGAGCAATTATGACCTTTGAGCTTCACACATGGAACAACCTTCTTTGATACCATGAAGGAAGTTAGAGTTCTACCATGAAACCAATTGGGAATAGAGGAGTAACTCAACTTACTTATAAGCCCATGTAAGGTCTCTCTCCCCAAATTCATTCTGAACATGCTTGCTATATGGTATCAAGCAAAATACGAAAAGACCTTTCAAATGAGGTTATGGGTTGAGCACTGTGGATAAGCGGGTTCATCTTCTAAATCTCCAAACATTGACTACATTTTTGTTTGGGCATATAGGATTAATAACTCACTATATTTAAAGTATATAGAAGGAAGAAATGAAAAAATTGTGCCTAATTTGAAGATACAATATGCATTACTCATTAGGAAACGCATTATCATTCAAATTAGACAATTGTTCAATAATATGCCTTAGGTTAAAAAAACTTATTTGCCTCTATTTTCAACATACCTTAAATTAGTGAGCCATCCAATTCCATTCAATCATAGAAATTAAAAGAGGATCTAATATAACCAAGAACTAAAGAAAATAGCTGAGTTATAGCACAACCAGTCTAGTGATTGATTCCATGTATGATTATTAGAGCTTTCTTTGTAAGTGATCATGAAATCAAAAAACAATTCTCACTTTTTTTGTCAGTTTGCAATATATATGTGGCTAAGATAATTTGGTCTTGTTTGGTACAAAGGTTTGAATTAGAATGGATAAGACTTCAAATTTAGCATATTTGAAGGTAAGATGAGAATGATTTTTCATTTTTAGAGGATTAGACATAAAGAAAATGATGCGATTGGAAGTGAGAAGTTTTATTCTTGAGTAATTCATCTTTTGTCTTCAAGTTGGTCATAATTTTTTCCCTTCACCATACCTTGAAAATAGTATGTTATCTATTTCAATCCAATCTCCATACCAATACCTTGAAAATAGTAGTTGTTTAGCACATTGTGGTAATATATTGTTTTTATTTATACATTTATATCACACACAACTTGATCAACATGTAAAACGATGTAAATTAACAATAATAACTCATTTGATTAATGAACAAAGAAAGCTACTATTTTAATACGATGATAATATTTAAACTGTTAAACAGTGTCTTGCAAATGTCAAATTTAATAATTATGCAAATTGTTAATCGTATTGCGTTGTGTTTGAAATTGCCATTGTAAATGCACACAACTGATGGAAGAAGAAGAAGAATTAAATAAATAAATAAAAAACATCTAGTATTTAACACATCTAGATTGTCATAAGGCATTTATAGCTTAAGTGAATATGAATACTTCATGCACTTGACTTGAAGTCTTTAGTTTGATTTATTCTCTCCAATCCCACATCTGTAAAAATAAGAAGAAAAAATTTAGGTTGAACTCCATGTTCACAATTGTAGAGGAAAATAATTATGCCTATATGCTATGTTGTGTACTGACTTTTCTCTCTTTACACTATTTAATCAACTAACTTTATCGTTTATAAAATAAATAAATAAATAAATAAATTCAATGGGCCTCAAATTCCCTTATCTTGCTTCGCAGCCCTCAAGGCGGCAAGGCCCAGCAACTCGTCTCTTCTTTGCAGTCGTAGAATATCCCAAAAATTCCAGAACGTTCTGGAGGTTTCAGGAACTTCAAGTCCGAGCGGTGCTGTATCTCCTCGACGCTTCATCCTATAAAACTCTCCCGCTCCTTGAAACCGTTTCCTTCATAGTTTCTCGTTCGATCATTTATTAGCAGAGAAGAGAAAACCAGAGATTATTTTAGGGTTTTGGGTTTTTGTTTCCGACGAAGCAACAATGGCGGACGGCGGACCCAACTGGGAAGGACTGCTCAAATGGAGCCTCGCTCACTCCGATGGCACTCGCCCCAATCGCAATTTGAAGTAAATAGCTCTCCCTCGCCCCTAAGTTCCATAAATTAATCAATTATTTCGAGTTAGTTGAGATTACATTGACTGATTTGTGCTTTGTGTTTGATAGCGAGGAGGAACGGAAGTGGTTTATGGAAGCGATGCAGTCGCAGAGTGTCGATGTTGTAAAGAGGATGAAGGAGATATCGCTTGTAATGCAGACTCCTGAGGACGTCTTGGAAGCTCAGGGAGTTACTTCTGCTGACATAGAAGGTATTTTCCTCCCCATTTTGTTGAATTTGATTAGTAAAGTTTTCATTTTTCGTTCTTTTTCTGATGAGTTTTCGACAAATTTATTAACTTTTGGGTGGTAACTCTTTTGGGTTTGTGGCAGATTTGTTGGATGAGTTGCAGGAGCATGTTGAGTCCATTGACATGGCCAATGGTAACATTTCTTACCCCTTTCTTGTGCTAGATTTTTTTTCGTTTTAATTCGAGCGATATTCTAATCTAATCTAAACAACGTGAGAATTTGAAATTGGGGCAGAGGTGGCCCACTGAACTAGACTTTGTTATCGTGTATTTTCGGTGTCTCTTTGTTTATTCATATTAAGGTCTTGTACTAGCATAATGGTAGTTGAAATTTGTAATCTGGCATGTCTCATTGGATGTATGTATGTGTTTTAGATCTTCACTCCGTTGGCGGTTTGGTCCCTCTTCTTGGTTACCTAAAGAATTCCCATGCTAATATCCGTGCAAAGGCTGCAGAAGTTGTGACCACTATTGTCCAGAACAACCCCAAGAGCCAGCAATTGGTTATGGAAGCGAATGGCTTAGAATATCTGTTTACTAATCTAGCATCTGACCCTGATGTCACGGTTCGAACAAAAGCCCTTGGAGCAATTTCCTGTAAGTACTGCTTTTGGTGTTATGATGAACTGTGCTGTTTAGTCATGCAAGTTCTTGCGTTTTAGTTTTGCGCGTCTTCTGAAAGGATATTGATGTATAGCTTTTGCTTTGCAAATTAATTACTCTGCAGCTTTAATCCGGCACAACAAACCCGGTATCACTGCATTTCGTCTGGCAAATGGTTATGCAGCCTTGAGAGATGCTTTGGCTTCTGACAACGTGAGATTCCAGAGGTAATGGTGTGTTACAAGGATTTAGTTATATCTTCATTTCGTTTCACTCGTATTAAATTGTATATTTGGAAATCTTCTGTTGTTTATGACTTCATTTTTGCCTCATTTAGTATCTAAAATATTGAAATTTCTTGTGAAAATCAATCATTTTTCAGGAAAGCTCTGAACTTGATTCAGTTGCTACTGCACGAGAATAGTTCTGATTGCAACGTAGTAACGGAGCTAGGATTTCCACGCATAATGTTGCACCTAGCCTCTAGCGAAGATCTAGAAGTACGAGAAGCTGCACTTCGGGGCCTTCTTGTGCTCGCCCAAGACAAAACTGATGGGGCCAATAGTAGGTTAGCTGATGAAGATGAGAAGTTGAAGCAACTTCTTCAAGAACGAATTAAAGGTATAAGGTCGATGTCTCCTGAAGATCTAGGGGCAGCTAAAGAAGAGAGGCAGCTGGTGGACTCACTCTGGAATGCCTGCTTCAACGAGCCATCTTCTCTTCGTGAGAAGGGGCTTCTTGTTCTCCCTGGGGAAGATGGACCGCCACCTGATGTTGCAAGCAAGCTTTTTGAACCTCGTCTTAGAGCTTTCTCTCCAAATCCTGCTGATACAAAACCTGCTACTGAGACGAAAGAAGCTCCTCCTTTGCTGCTAGGATTAGGTCCTCCATCCGAGGCTGCAAATGCTCAAGGTAGTTCTGGTGACAGAGATGATACGAATGGTAGCTCACGGTCCAATTAATGACGTAGCCATTGCTGTTTATGCTGCCTGTATTTAGCTCAGTGAACTTGTTTTAGTGTATCATACTGTTTTGTTGTAATTTCGTTTATTCCCCCGCACCCCAAAACTTGTATTTCCATTTGGATTCACAGGAATTTTTGCTTGCATACTTATTATCGTAAAATTGTTTGGCTTACAAATTGCAGTTTCACATGTACGCACAAGATTTTTCTTTTTCTCTCTGATTTTTCTTACATTTCCTCCATGTGTTGGATTTTTAGTTAGCGGGCAAGAACGATGGCCGGTGTCCTAAAGAATTGGCTATGGGTTTTGACAATGTCAAAATTAGAATCAAATCTAATTTAGGATTCACACAACCACAGTTAAATTAGGAAAGTACATAACACTTCCCCTTTAGTGTGTAAATACTTAAGGTAGATTCAACATCATGCAGAAGTTGAGGAAAGTCGACTCGTCAGCATTGATTATAAGGAATAACGCTTATTCTCAATAAGTTAGGAACTTGCATAAAGTCGTAAGTCTCACTAAAAAACCCGAAGGCTATGGCAAAAACCCGAGTAGGGACAAAACCCATAGTCTAAGGAAAAATGCATGAGAAATGCAAAGTTAAAAGAAACGTCTACGGGACGTCATCAAGGATATGATCAACCTAATGTGGGTGCCTCATTGAAACCTAGTTAGGTAGCAAAAACCTAGTGGGAAAAATGCTCATAATCGTAGAGAAAAAGAGTACATTAAGATCAAACAAATATTCTTCAGGATACTCCTCTTAAGTTTGACACAATTCCAAAGATAAATAGCAATGTTACAACTTAGAAAATTTACGCATACCAATTCCTTGAACAAGCTTCTAAAACATCATCTTCGGTAGTGATTTGGTGAAAAGGTTGGCCAAATTGTCTTCTGAATGGATTTGAATTACTTCAATCTTTTGATGCTCTTGTTGTTGATATGAAAAGAAGAACTTTAGCACAATGTGCTTGGTGTTGCCTCAATTGATGTAACCCTTCTTGAGCTATTCGATGCATGCTACGTTGTCTTCAAAGATTGTCATAGGGACATCTACGGTGGGGTAGAGGTCGTAGGAACTTCGAATATGGCCTATAACTGCTCTCAACCAAAAGTATTCCCGAGTTGCTTCATGTAAGGCGAGAATTTCAGCATGGTTAGACGAAGTGGCAACTAAGGTCTATTTAGTTGACCTCCAAAAGATTACGGTGTCTCCAACGATAAAGACATAACCTGTTTGAGTTATGTGGATTAGATAAGTATCCTGCATCGGCATAACCAACAAGGCGAGAATGGACTCGAGAAGCAGAGGGTGTGGCATCACTCAAGGATTTGTAGGGATAGAACAAGCCCAAATTCTCAGTACCTGTAAGGTAATGGAAGATGTTTTTCACTCCAGTCCAGTGTCTACGTGTTAGTGCATTACTATATCTTGCCAAAAGATTAACAGCGAAGGAGATGTCGGGTCTAGTGCATTAAGCTAAGTACAATAAAGCGCTTGTCACACTTAGATAAGGAATTTCAGGCTCCAAAATCTCTTCATTATCCTCATTCGGACGGAAGGGATCTCATTTTGCATCTAGCTGTAAACACGAAAATTCCTGACGACGAACGAGACAAGAACACGTGTACAAAATATATTTTGTATTAATGATTTTGGGGTTACAATCTCTTTGTAATTTGATCATCTGATTCAATCTCCGTAAGGTGTTGATTTGTGGATGTGCGATTAATCCAAGGGCCGTCGAGGCTTGATCTTGGATGAACGGTGATGAACGGATCTTCAAGGGCTTTTGGGCTTGATCTTGAAGAACGGTGATGAATGGAACTTGGATGAACGGTGACGAACAGATCTTCATGGGCTTTTGGGCTTGATCTTGAAGAACGGTTGGATGTATGGATTTGTTGATGTTATTGATCCAAAGGACCGTCGATGCTTGATCTTAAGATGAACGGTTGATGAACGGATCTTCAAAGGCATTTGGGCTTGATCTTGAAAAACGAATGTGTGGATTTGTTAATGTGGTTGATCCAAAAGGCCGTTGGAACTTGATCTTAGGATGAACGGATGATGAACGATGAACACTTTCTTCAAGGGCCGTCGGGGCTTGATCTTGAAGGAGGATTTGACGAAGAACGAAGAGAGCTTTCTTAATCCTTTGTTATTTGCTTGAGAGCTTTAGAGTTTCAAAGCTTCAAGGTTTTGGTGTCATATCAATTCCTTTTTTTTTTCTCTCCCCTTATCCCTTGATGGAGAAGCCTATTTATAGGCTTTGAGAATGAATCACCACCATCCATTTTTTTGGTGAAGTGAGTGGATGTTGTAGGTGAAATGAGTGGAGTTTGTAGGTCAAAATGAGTGTAGTTCGTAGGTGAAATGAGTGTGTGATGTAGGTGAAATGAATAAAGGTTGTAATTTTAATACATTGGTCAACATTTATTTCATTGAAATTTCGATGTCTACACTAGCAATCGAGTGACCATAAGAGTACTCGAAGGCTTCGCTTTATCCTCGTTAAAGTGGTGCAACACCTTCTGGGTATAGTTCGTTTGATGTACTAGGATTCCATCTGAACGATGCTTTATCTCGAGACCGAGACAGTATCGAGTCTTACCTAGATCTTTCAGCTCAAATTCTGACTTCAAATACGCGGCAATTCTTATGAGCTCTTTAGGAGTTCCAATAAGGTTCATGTCATCGACATATACTGCAACTATTGCAAAACGAGAATGTGACCTCTTAATAAACACACAAGGGCATAGTTCGTTATTCACATATCCCTGACTAGTCAAATATTCACTATGACGGTTATACCATAATTTTTCGGATTGCTTCAAACTGTAAAGTGAACGCCTCAGCCAAATTGAGACCATGTTATGGGGTTTGGAAATATTTGATCCAGTCAATGTAAGTCATTTGGGAACTTTCATATAGACTTTCATATCAAGATCCCCATAAAGATACGCAGTTAATATGTCCACCAGCTGCATACTCAATTTTTCAAAAACTACTAAACTGATAAGGTAGTGAAAAGTAATCATATCCATAACGAGTGAATAAGTTTCGTTATAGTCAGTTCTGGAGCGTTGTGAGAAACCTTGCGCAACAAGACAAGCTTTGTAACACAAAATTTCGTTTTTCTCATTACTATTCTGCACGGAAACCCACTTCCAGCCAACATGCTTCCCATGTGGAAGAGTATAAGTTATAGGTCCAAACACCTTACGTTTCGTAAGCGAATTGAGTTCGACTTGGATATGAGTTATAGGTCCAAACACCTTACGTTTCGTAAGCGAATCGAGTTTGACTTGGATTGCTTGTTACCAGTTTGACCAATTGGTTCTACACCAACATTCATCCACGGAATGAGGTTCAATGGCATCGCTCAACATGATCTCAGTAGCTACTGCATATGCCAATGCATCATTGACGATCATCTCATTTCTACACCACACATCATTTAAGCTAGCATGATAGACTGAAATCTCACGATTCTCGGGAAGAGAATTCGTCTCTTCGTGGACGCTTCCGTAATCTATATTTCCTCATGAGTTGGATAGAATGAGTAAGCGACAGTCAGATTCATGGTAGGCTCTTCAGAAGCTTGTGCCATAGGTTTTCTTTTCCAGGGTGTGAATCCTTTGAACCAAGTCTACCATGCTTTTGTGTAGGGGTAGATGATTGGATAGCATCTAATGTACGTGGATCACCAAGATTGGCATCCCAGGCCTCCAAGAGGGAAGTTCATCGTACATCTGGTACATCTATCTTTGCAGACGCATTCACAGCTGGAATATGTGATCTTGTCATGTGCGCTAGATCAATGAAAGCATTTGGCATGCTTTGAGTTATGCCCTGAACATTTAATATGCATTGCACTTCAATTTCAGATTGAGCGGTGTGAGGATCTAAATGAGACAAAGTGGGAGTCGTCCACGATAATTCGTGTCGTTCTTCAGGAACGTTGACGTTCTTATCTCCTCCTAACAATGGGAATACTATCTCATAGAAGTGACAATCTGTGAAACAAGCGGTAAACAGATCGCCTATCAAATGTTCTAATTAACGAATAATCGACGGAGAATTATATTCTACATAGATTCACATCCTTTGCTGAGGCCTTATTTTTGTACGTAAGGGCGGCAAAATTGGCATATAGACCACACAAGAAAAAAACACGCAGATGCGATATGTCGAGTTCGTATCTAATAACCAATTGAAGGGCACTATATGGTTAGGTCACAACAGGTCTCAGGGGGACCAACATGGCTGTGTGCAATATTGCATGGCCTTAAGCAGCGATCGGGAGCTTGGTACTGATGCGATATTTATACGCACACAAATTAAACCCTCTTTTTGTCAATTGTAGTATAAGTATAAGTAGGGATCGTTCTAAACCGGGGATTAGGAGGGATTACTAAATCACTTGGAAACTGACTCAAAAATGTAAAACAAACATTAAAACACTAAAACAAATCAAAAGACTCAAAGAATACAAAACACTTATAAACACAAACTAAGACACTTTCTAACTAAATTGGACACTAAAGTAAAGGGGGATTGAGATTTTGACGAAAATAAATTAAATGCACAAATTGTAATTTAAAGGTAGAATTTAAATATGAATGTGATGAAATATGGAATGAATGCTAGCTAAGGGGTTCTTCTCCACACATGTTATACTTGCATACAAGATTGATTCTCAGTTGGTCTTTCGATAAATTATGAAACTCAACACTCCGGATTAATTAGGTCCGCTTAAATTAACCGTCAAGTTTTCCTTAAGTTAATGAATTGGATGGGTTTGCGCAACGCAATTCACAACATTCTCCAAAAGTCCTTTACGTGAACAGCACAATAAAGATACAATCAAAGATCATTAAGTATTATGAAAACTATAAGTGTTGACGAGGCATTCGTTACTATGATGAGCATGAAACTCGTGCCAAGAATTCATTTAACGCGATTGTTTATAAGCAACCTCCACTACTTGTGAATATAAGTTCATAACGATTAGGTGAAAATCACTTATATTCTAGCGTCATATTTATGCATGAAAATTAAGCGCGCATTCTTAATAAACATTCATAAATAAGTTATCAATCAAACGGTTAAACAAATTGAATCCACAACTTATGAAATTCC